CGTTGGGCGTCATGGTCGTTGTGACGTTGGGCGTCATGGTCGTTGTGACGTTGGGCGTCATGGTCGTTGTGACGTTGGGCGTCATGGTCGTTGTGACGTTGGGCGTCATGGTCGTTGTGACGTTGGGCGTCATGGTCGTTGTGACGTTATGCGTGTGGCTGCGCGTTGTCTGGTTGCCTTCCTCGGGCATGTCGTTGAGTTCGACGATTCGTGCTGGCTGTTTGGCCGTCACCTCGCAGGTGGCGCTGGCCACGTTGCAACGGCAGCGGTTGAGCTTGCTGACTTCTCGCCAGGACGGGGCGGAGCCTGAGCACTTCGGGTCAAGAACGAGTGCTGCGAGAAGCCGCTGGATTTGTTCCTCGCGCGACATGGTTGGGACGACAGTGGTATTCCCGGACATCATCGTCGTGTTACCAAATAGTGAGGCGTTTGACGGGGTATCGAGGGGGAAACTTCTGAGGAGTCGCGTGTTTAGTGAGTTGTAGGTTTGTTGGGGTGTGTGGCAGAGGACTTGGCACTGCTGGTTTGGGAACTGGTTAGCGGTATTCCAGACCATCGGGAAGGAGACCGGCCAGGGGCTGCCGAAGTCGCTGCATCGTGTGGTCATGGTGCCGTTTCCGCATAGTAGAGTGCCACTGCCACAAGGCGCCAAGGACGCGGGTGCATCGGATGTCCAGACGACAGCGGTCTGGTTGTCGCCAAATTGAGGGCACATCCCCGGTGTAGTTTCGAACGGTATAGTTACAAGGCTCCGTTCGAAACCTCGTTTCGTCATCCGTTTGTCGTTCCAGGGCCACAAGTCAGCGTGGGGCCACACGGCATGCGCAGCGAGTCCCATGAGGCCGGCAGCCGCGGCCAGTGTGACAATAGTAGCGGTGGTGTACCCGCAGCATTTCAACGCTGTTCCGCACTTTGTGTTATGAGAGTTTTCTGAGTTGGTATCCCGGGCGACAGATCTTCGCATCACCGGCTTCCAGTCTTCGGGCACGAGGTCCAGGATCTCGTTCAACTCCGAGGGGTCCACCTCGCGCGTCAAAGCGACGCTGATGTCATCCTCGTCCGCACGGCGCTGCATCTCGTAGCCGTTAGGACCCATGCACATCTCGCCGACATCGTTCAGTACCTCGTACAGATCGCGTAGGTGTCCTCCAAATACCTCACTACACAATGCCTCCACCGCCTCCGGCCTGTTCCTGTGGGTACTTGCCAAACGGCGTCGCAGCGTACTCAGCAACGCCGCCTCCGCACGCGCGTCCGTCGCAGGACCCTCCTTCGGACGCCACACCATCAACCGATCCCACAGCTCAAACCAGTCGTACTTCTCTCCCTCTACCAGCGTCCGCTCCATCATCAACGGCGAACTTTCACCAACAGCCAACTCCAAATGAAACGCCGTCTCCGGAGCCAATACCACTGCTGTTACCTCACGTCCTCCAACAAGCCCACCCACGCGCATCGTCACCACCTGAGCCGTACAACCATCCGGCTCAGGCCGGGTACCATCCGGACGCATCAATACCGACAACAACTCGCTACCTTGCACACCACTCCCTTCGCTCTTCAATGTGCGCATTACGACCAAAAAAAACTTGAATTTTTCTTACCCGCACGCACCTTTTATCCAACAAGAAATTGCCACAACAAACGGCCAACTGGAAAGTGGGCACATAACTGAAGATCTCGTGCATAACGACTGATCAGTGGAATGACTTTTCGAAGACCTCAACGGAGCGCTACGAACAAATCCTCAACGGAGCGGTATGGGCAAATCCTCGCATAGGGACATGGAACATGAAGTTACTATTCTTGCCTTGTGATCGGTTAAGTGCACGGCGATAGTAGTATTCGTCCTTTTTTTCAATGGACCCTCAACGAGTATGATCACACTTCTTCTGCGTACGACTAACCGAAATGAAGAAATTTATGGTCTATAATGTCACCAAACTCGTTATCCATCAGTTCCTCTTCTTGGCGAACTTTCGGACGCTTGGTGGTAGTCGTAAGGGTAGCCAGGTAGGCGGCTTCTGCGGCCTTGTTTG